GAGTCAATGCTCTCAAAAGGTGCTGTATAATTCCCCAAGACTGAGAGTGAGGCTGAGTGTGGAGGAGCAAAGGTTCCTGGTTCCTTGGCCTGAGCATCTCCTCCAGAACCCCCACACTGCTTTCACCACTCACCGGCTTTTGGTCTGACTTGGAAGCATCTCCAAACTTGGAAGCTTACTCCAAGCTTAATAATGACTTAAGAAGTGATAATATGGACTTTCATGTGGATTATCCACCCAAACACCCATGGAGTAGCGTGGTGATAACTTCCACATCCCTCTCCTTGGCCCTTCCAAGTTGGGCTCAGTGCTCTTAGGGAAAAATCAAACTCACAATATTTCCTCTGATCAAATTTCAGACCCCACAGACAGCTCTGCTCCAAGCCACGAATGAGTTCTGTTCCTGCAATAACTCTTGCAGAGAGAAAAAATTAGGAGGCTTAGCACTTTTGGATGCCGATGGCTGGAGCTGCGAATGGATAACGCACCAGCAGCCAGCACAGACGTGGTGAGGATGTGGGACTCGGCCAGCACGGAAAAAACCATGTTTACAAAAATCAAGATGAAAAGGAATGAAGAGCCAATTATGCAAAACTCTTTAAATAAAGCAGTGCAAGCCTGTCCCGTGCAGCAGACAAATGACCCACAACCACATGAAAATAATATAATGGATAGCAAGGCTGAGAGCAGGGGATGTGAGAAAATCCATTTTCTAGGAGCAGGGAAGAGGACTTGCTTGCTGAAAAGGATTAGCTGGATAAAGCCAAAACTTTCTAAAAAAATCTCTTGCATAAAGATCTAAAGATGCATCAAACAGCAATAGGAAAAGAACTGCCTGTACAAAGATGTGAGGAGCCACGTTCTGCTCCTGCTCACAATGAAAATGCTGTCAAAAAAGTCTTATGTAAACTTGCCACACACAACACATCATCAACAGACATTTATCAAATGAAACACATACCAAATGCAACTCTTCATAATCCTAAGTCAAACAGGCTTTGAGTTTCAGACCCTCAGGAAGAGATTTCCATATGATTCTCCTCTGCTGAGTTTATGACTAAACCTTCTGAATTTCAGCATTTATCTGACAAAATGCCCTGGAGAGGGCTCTCCTTTATCCTCCAAGCCTGTGTCTGTACCCTTCCTGAGCTGCTGCTCTACTGCTCTGCAGCCACCCATCTAGGGGGAAAAAAGCTGTAGTCCAGACCACTTGATTGCCTAAAGCAAGGATGGCTTCACTGGTGGTGGTAACTCAAAGTCCTGTGTGCTATGTGCCATCACCCAAGCATTTGCAGCAGGGCTTATAAATGCTGCCTTTGAGCCAGAAGCTGACTTTTGGGGCTCTGCAATGCAAATAAAACAGATGTGCCCGAGGGGGTCCCACCAGAAGCATCTGTGTGGCCGGCCTCCCAGCTCTTTGTAGTTTGGGAAGAGGATCTGCGGTGTTGAAACGTTTCAGTGTGGTCTGGAGGAGCTGTCAAACGGAGCCAAGGCCGACTCCTGCGAGCAGCCACAGGATCATTTACCACTTGCCATCCTCCTGCAGACTGAGGTATGGTCCTTGTTAACCATCCAGTCATATGTTTCAAGAGCTGTATTCATAACCCCCTGAGTCTGATCGCAGCTAATTCGCAGGCAAAAAGGAGTATATTTGCTTAATGCACTGCTCTGTGCAAACATGCTGATTGTTCCCAGATGCATCTGTTTTTACCCAACAGCCCTCAGGCAGCAGCAGAGAAAATAATTTCAGCTCCCTGGAGCCAGTGGCCGAAGCAGTTTCAAGATGCGCCAGAAGCCCTCCCACATCTCTTCGAGGGAGCTGTACCCATCTCAGTCATTCCATCAGACCCAGCTCCTTCTGCTGTTTTTTGCCATCCTGAAATACAGATTTCTGTTCGTGCAGCAGGATCTGCAACCTTCCTGTAACTAGAGCATGTGAGATCACACACAAGTGCTGCAAGGCTACATAAAGCCCAAACCAGGTAAGGATGCTATTTTAATCTCATCCACAGTGAAGAGATCAGTTCAACTGATTCCCAGCAGTCTTCCTTAAACGTGCCACAACAGCATGAAATTTGCTTTGGAAAAGCTTCCAGGAAAGGTTGAGGTTGATTGGAAGGGACATGTTTTACATGGGAATTTGAGAGCTCTCCTCATGAGCAGTGTAAGCCAACACAGATTACTAAGGCCCAACACAGTGATGGAAGAATCTCTTCCATGGCATAAGCCAAGAGATCATCCCTCATCAGCCTGTGGTGAGATATCCATAGATAAACACAGCTTTGAAGCGGCAGCCAGAAGCTCTGAGTTGGATGAAGACTGTATTTACAGCTATGAGAAAAGCTGATAACCAAAGCAAAGGTGCTCAGACCTTACAAAACTTTTATCTCCAATCTCAGCACAAGTTCTGAGCTGAACAGATCAGCTGGTGAGGTTTTCCTTGGCAAAGAGCACATCATTCTCATGGCTGAATACTTCCCACTCCGTGCTGCTGCCTGGAGCAGACCATCCTATGACCCCCCCCCCCAAAGCTGGCAGCTTTGCAGGAACACCAGTGTTTTGCCCATATTTGCAAAGAATCAGTATTGGAGACACGAATCCAAACATCCTTTTCCTCCGCAGTCTGCTCTACCCCAGAGTGCTGTATTTGCTATATCTGTGAGCTGCCTCTGCTCTAACAGCATCATTTCTCCAGAAAAGCACCTAAGATGCCTTAGTGGGCAATCCTGTGCACACATAGCAGGCACTGTTTTCAGAGCTGGGTCAAGCTGTGTGCAGCAGAGGTGACTGCATTTTCTGGACATGAATTTTTCACACTCGCACCTCCTGGCTTTCCTCATTCATACATTACTTGAGAGCAGCAAAAAAGATTTATTGCGCAAATAAAATTCAGCCATGGGTCACTTGCAGACTAGTTAGTGTGATTTACAGAGCAATTCATGTCCTATATTGATCACTAGAAATTCCCACTGAAGGTGTGATCAAACGCTTAAAAAAATACATCACGTGAGCAGTTCCAGTGTTTCCCAACCCAGCCTCCTCCACTTTCATTACCAGTGCAGCTATTGTGTCTTTCCTGTATGCACAGTGCTATTGAGAATAGCCCCAAACAAGAAACTGGGCAGTGCAGCTTGTATAGATTCCTGTGATGTATTCAGAGGGCAGTGAGGCACTGGCATTGCTACCCAGAGAAGCTGTGGGTGCCCCATCCGTGGAGGTGCTCAAAGCCAGGCTGGATGGGACCGTGGGCAGCCTGAGCTGGTGGAGGAACTGAGCCCATAGCAGGGGGCTGGAGCTGGGTGATCTTTAAGGTCCCTTCAAACCTAAGCCATTCTGTGATTCTATGATTATTGGTATTGCAAGCAATGCTTTAGCAAAGCCATACTCCAAAAAGCAATGCAATTCTCATGCAATTAAGAAAAACTTCAGAGATATCTCTATGAATCAGGAAGCCAAGTGCCACATCCTTGTAATGGATGTGCTTATGGCTGTGCCTATGGATGCAATACAAAGTTGGACAGAAACCCCTGAGCTATCTGCAAAGCCTCAGTGAGGCGGGTGAAAGCTTGTGCAGGAATGCTCACTGTGCAGAATTTGGCACCACAGAATCATAGAATCCTTTGAGCTGGAAGGGACCTCTGAAAGCCATCTAGTCCAACTCCCCTGCAATGAACAGGGACAGCACAGATCAGGTTGCCCAGGGTCTGATCCAGCCTGGCCTTGAAAGTCCCACATCTCTGAGCAACCTGTGCCAGTGCCTCACCACCCTCAGTGTAAAAGATTTTTTCATTTCCATTGTTCTGTCATCACAGACCCTGCTAAAGAGTCTGTCCCCTTCTTTCCTGTAGCTCCCTTTTAGATACTGAAAGGCTGTTCTCTCTGGAGCCCTCTCTTTTCCAAGCAGAACACCTCCAGCTCTCTCAGCCTGTCCTGTTGGGGAAGGTGTTCCGTCCCTTGGATCATTCTGTGGCTCTCCTCTAAATGCAGTCCAACAGGTCCATGTCTGTCCTGAAGACTCAGTGGATACCATGGGTATGGCATTTCACTCTAACTAATGAGTTATAATTAATTATTGAGCTATTCCCCTTCCAGCCCATGGCTCATGGCTAGCACCTGGGTGCACTCTGACCGCACAGCCCAGCGCACACCGCATGTCTCAGGGAGCTGTGGGATTCCATCTTTTTGGTCATTAAGGACTCAGGACCTCACCACCCTTAGCATTTTGTTAATGATGTTTTTAAGCAACTTTCCAGCAGTGGGGCTGAACATGCTTCCGGCGATTCATGGCACCTCCAGCTATCCCTGTTCAGATTTCCTCGGGTGGGATCCTGCTCCCCCAGCTATCAGCTGCATCGTGGTTCTGCAGCCATGGGAAGTTTCATTTCCTGCTTCTGGGGCTGCCCAGCAGCATTTGCAAAAAGGAAAGGCATTCTTCTCATTCTTGCTGTTAACCTGTTGGTGACCCCTGAGGAGTGAGCCAAAATTGTCGGGAAGGCTCAGGATGTGGCAACATTCATGAGCCCATGGCCAGCACCAGAATCTCATTCTCCTTCATTCTCTACTATTGTTACTTTTTAAAATAGGAGGATAATTTACTGATGTATTTTAACGCATACTTGTGTTTGATTTTTTAGCCGTTGGAGTATCTCCAATGATGTCTGCCCACGGCACCAGCACTGCATCCTGAGCATCATACACCAAGTTTAGTGGCAAGAAACGGGATGGAAACCCAGGCTGGGGGTACTGTAAGAAGATGTAATATTTTGCTCCGCTAAGTGACATAGTAATAGCATCAAAAATGACCTGACCTGCTTTTCTGTCCTAACAGGGGGGACTGGGACTGTTAGCACAAAGCCCTTCCCACAAGCATGTTATCCCTGATACAAATACAGCTCTGCATGCAATCTCAGCATCAAGTTGCTGAGAAAACCAAATGAAAACCTTTTCCTCTCCCTTTTTATCCTGGACTATTTGGAGATGGAGAAACATGCAGTTCCTACCTGGACGAGGAGCTCCAGCTTCCTGTCATCAAGGAGGTGCACTTGGCATCTGCGGCCCTCCGTCATCTGCAGGAGAGAAGAGACACGTGGCTCAGGGCGTGTGGCTTTCTATCTTGGCATGCTGTGCGACTGCTGCCCTGGGCCGGCTGTTCCATGCCCACCGCCCTCTGGTGCAGACCTTTCCCTAGCACCCCCTGCCCCTCCCCTGGCGCAGCTCCACGCCGTTCCCTCGGTCCCTGTCGCCGTCACACAGAGCAGAGCTCAGCGCTGCCCTCCGCTCCCTGGGAGGAGCTGCAGCCGCCGTGACGCCTCCCCTCAGCTCCTCTGCTCTGGGCTGAGCAAACCCAGGGAGCTCAGCTGCTCCTCACGCACCTCGCCCTCCAGACCCTTCCCCATCTTCGTAGCCTTCCTTTAGATGCTCTTTAACAGCTTTATGTTTTTAATTATTATATTGGTTCACCGGTGCTAACATATCAGTATGATTTATTCCAACTCTTAACATGTACGACGGCATCAATTACAGTTTTATGTATATTAAGTTGCTTCTTCCAAGGTACTGTGGGTTGAGGTAGTGAGAAGTAAATGAGCTATTGCCTGAGGGAACGCCTCTACGGTCAGCCAAGGCCTTTCTCAGCTCTTGTGAAGAGGAACAACTTTGCTTTGCACAGCCACGGCTCCAGGCTCTGCCCCTAAAGCCTTCACATACACACACAATCCCACTAATGGGATAAGAGCAGTCTAAGCCTCTTTCACTCTAGGAAATCTCTTCCTCGGCATGATTTGGGCAGCGTTCAGGCAGCACCAAGGCAAACACACATGCCTTGGCCCTGCTGTGCTGCTCAGCGTTCTGGTAACCCACCACACTCCATCCAAAGGACATCCTGAGTGTTGGGTGAGCTGAGGAGACATGCATAGCCTAGGCAGTCATGGCCCATGCACAAGATCTTCATCCTCAGCCATAGAATCATAGATTTACTAGGGTTGGAAAAGACCACCAGGATCACGCAACAGCCCACCTACCACCAATATTGCCCACTAAACCATGTCCCTCAGTACCACGTGTTTTGAACACCTCCAGGAACAGTGACTCCACCACCTCACTAGGCATCCTGCTCCAGTGTCCAACAACTCTTTTGGAGAGGAAGCTTTTCCTAATATCAAATCTGACCTCCCCTGGTGCAACTTGAGGCCATTCTGTCTCATCCTATTGCTGCTGCCTCAGAGAAGACACTGCTTCCCCTTCACCACAGCCTCCTTTCAGGCAGTTGTAGAGAGTGATAACTTCTCCCCTGAGCCTCCTCTTCTCCAGTCAAACAATCCCATCTCCAGCACTACCTTCTCATGCTGCTGGTTGACTCTCCTAGATGCTCCTGTCCTCTTCACCAGTTGTGTCCCATGTCCACCTCCCCACCTCCTGGAGTCAGGACAGATCAGTCCTTGTCCAGGTTCCCAGCCTCTTCCCTATAGCAAAAATTCAGATGTGATAAATACCTCTTCTCATAAGGTATATTATTTGGTAAGAGATTTTCTCTGTAAACTGTTTATTAAGCAGCATTCAGTGTGGTTGTGCAGCTATGGACAAAGCTCAGAGCACTCTGCTTCCATCTCTCTCTCACACCCTTGCTGTCAGAGATCTGCAACATCCCCAAGATAGGGAGTGTGCATTAGTACTGAAGTTTTAATACGTGTTTACCCAAGGCAAGAAAGAAAGCAGGGATTTTCTCATGGTAGTGACACATGATGGCAGGGACAGGAGCACAGTCCAGCACTAACATGTAGCACCAGATCAGTTATACAAAGTGGAAGTAAGAAAAAAAAAAAAAGAACGTAAAAGAAGCAAGAAGGAAAATTGACTGAGGTGATGTTTAGTATTTCAGAAAAAGACATTCCATGCTTTTCCAACCCAGAGTTTCGTATCCTGCTGCTTACATAAATCCCAAATGCGAACAGCTGGTAGCTGGCAGTATCCAAATGTAGTGAAACTGAACGGCAGCACAGATGATCGACAAATTGCAAATTCATGAGCATCACTCACAGAAATGGGGGGAGGAAAGAGGAGTGGAGCTAGGGAAATCATGCTATTTTCACATCAGCTCACCCCCAGCACCTCTGTCCATCAGCAAAACCTTGGTGGCTCTCAAAGACCATGGTAGTTTTTATAGTTTGATCATGCCACTCATGAGCATACTACTCAGGGCAGTACTACTCAGACCACTCGTGAGCATACTACACTTTAATTCTTTAGTGTCACTTTGTTGCTACGCCTCTTAGTGGTTTGAAGGTTTGTGTTACAGGCTACTCACCCTAACCCCTCTCCCCCGTCCTCTCTGTTTTATTATTCTGCCAGGCATTTGAAGCCCGCACTACACGCTTTTCACCTTCATCAGAGCAATACAAGCTCTGCTGGATTGTCAAAGTGGAATGTTTTACAGCATAGCAAGAAGGAACTGTTTTGGTACAGGCTATCCATGTGGAAGATGGTGCTTCTGATGCTTTGCAGTTTCACTTCTCTATGGTATCTGTTACACAGCAACGAGAGACTGAGGAACAAGGCAAAGAATCCCTTCTGCTTCTCTGTGTAACAAGAATGAAAGCCAACACCAGAGCCCTATGGATGGGACTGTGGGACCAGGAGGTCACTAAAGATGAGCTGAGCAACACCAGAATTTGGATAATGGAACTCTGTGAGGAGAGAACTGTGGTTCTCCACACCTGAAATTGTTACCCTGAAAAAGATGGGGGAAGCTGAAAACTATGAGGCACAAAGGCGTGGGTTTCCCCTCAACACAGAAAAGTAAAATCTTAGCATAGAAGAAGCAATAGTTGGACAGAGCGGTTGATAGTAGAAAAGGACACTTGATGTGAAGGGGAGAAGTTTGCTCCTGATCATGTCCCAGTTTTCACTGTGACTTCAGTGACTTAGTTTCCTGTATCATCAGCACAGGCCCCTAGTTGCCCTCTGGAGGTTAGAAGCCATTAGTCTAACTTCAGAAAGTAAAAATTCACGTGTCTAATATTTCCTGACTGTCCTGATGTCCATGATGCTCAAACCAAAGAGATGCATACTGGGCAGGATAGCTGTCCCAGCTTCATCCTACACTTGGATTTTCCATACCTGAAGCCATGCCCTAGTGTTAAATTCAGACAACTCTCCAACATGGGGTTCAGGCTGTAGCATCCACATTTACTCCCTGCACCTCTGACACTTCCCAACAAGTGCGAAGAGCTGGGGCTGTGCTACAGACTCAATGCTAACATTTCACCCATATGACAGAGAGCAGCATTCTTCATATGGGAAGAGGGGCCAGATGCACTTTGTGGGCCAGACTGATCACGAATTCAGATGCGAATTATGCAGCAAAACACACAACAGCTTTTTTGTTTGTTTTCTGAAACTTCTCAGTACGTCACATTCTGAAAACTGTCACTTCTTCTAGTGCCTGTACATGCAGCATGATCCCAGAGTGCTCGAAGAGCTGAACATGAGCACTTTTAGAAAGCTGAGGATAACACATCTCCACACCATACAGACACAGATGGTGCTTGTGAGACACATGAAAATGTGAAGAAACCCATTTGTACAGATGAGGTGGTAGATGCTCAGGAGAGCTGATCACACACAGGGCATCATGCTTTACCTGCGCCCTGGCTTTTGGAGAAGAGTAGGATCTGGGAAGACCTGATTGCTTTCTACAGCTCCCGGAAAGGAAGTTGTAGATAGGTGGTGGTTGGCCTCTTCTCCCTGTAACAGCCACAGGAGAAGAGATAGTGGCCTTAAGTGGGTAAGAGATAAGTGCCAGAGGTGGTTCAGGTTGGATATTAGGAAAAAAATTATTCTCAGAAAAGAGGTGAGGCATTGGCACAGGCTGTCCAGGGAGGTGGGGGAGTCACCATCCCTGGAGGTGATCAAGAAACATAGATGTGGCACTGAGAGACGTGGTTACGGACATGGATTGGACTACATGATCTTTGTAATCTTTTCCAACATCAATGATTCTATGACTCTGCACCTGGAAGAATGATTCTGCCCTCCTTTGCAAGACACTTTGAGGGACGTCAGTGACAAGTTTTGATGTATGAACATGATCATGTGAATGTGCTACAGAAAGCAATTATCTCTCCTGGTTACTTGTGGGATCTTCTGTATCTTGGCTGCTTTTCTCAAGGAAAAGACGTTTTAGTTACCTTTGTCACAAGCAACAGACTTTAAATATCGTTTGGAGGCTCCTACCCAAATATTTACATGACGGTTTTCCTAAGAAAGACCATCTGGCAGCTGTTTTGCACTGCTGCACGAACCACTCTGCCGACTTCCCTCCTCTCTTTGCTGTAACTCCAAACATAGGTTTGGAGCGTTCTATAAACTGTCTGCGGCATCTCAGACGGTTGCTGCACTGCGCTCTGCTAGTCCCCGTGTGTGTCATCTTGTCACTAAATTATCTGCAACTGTCCACAGAACTGCTGCATCCACTGCAAACAGCAAAGGCAGCAGGAAGGAATGACTCCAAAGGGAACCTTTCCCTTTCAAAATGAAAAAATCCTCTTGGTGAAGGCACTGTCACACTAAATAACTCCAAGGCACCAAATGCAAATGCTATTTACAATGGCAGTTCTATAAATACTCGTGGCACGTTTCATTAGCCGGTGACTACAGAAATAAGAGGATACGGTGTTTTCTTCCATGAATCAAATCAGAAATTATAATTGGAGGCAGAAAATTTCCTAAACGCTCACTGCATGGATAGGAGGCAATTACTGTGCTGAGCACACAAAAATCGGTGTCACTCTGCCTGCCGTTTGGACAGACCCGATGAAAGGAGATAGAGAGAGATGACAGCCTGCTGATTAAAGTAAAGCATTAGATTAAACACCCTGCTCCCACTTGACCACTTCTTACTCCTTTCCACCCTGCTTGCTTTCCAGGTCTAAAACCCTCCTGCACACTCATTTCCCTGCTCTTCCCTTTATTAGACAATAATGCTGCAGGCTTATTTCTACCTGAACCTCACTGACTCGAAGCTCTAAGAGTGGGGAGAAAGACAGGAGAAACTCCAGGCAGAGAGACT